GAAACTACGCTGGGGAGGAGGAGGAGGAGGAAGGGAGCGGCAGCAGTGAAGGATTTGAGCCCCCCGCGGCTGACGGGCAGTTCCCGGGGGCCCGGAGGCAGCTGCGCCAACCCCAGTTTTACCCTCAGTTCCGGCAGCGGCGCTTCCCGCCGTACCACGTGGGACAGACCTTTGACCACCACCCTCGGGTCTTTCCCCAGCCCAGCAGATCGCAGGCTGGTGAGATTGGAGAGATGAAGGATGGAGTCCCTGAGGGAGCTCAGCTTCAGGGTCCGCTCCATCGGAACCCAACTTACCGCCCCAGGTACCGCAGAGGGCCTCCTCGCCCACAGCCCGTAGCACCTATCCGGGAGGCTGAGGACAAAGAGAACCAACAAGCGGCCAACGGTCCCAACCCACCAGGTGCTCGCCGCGGCTACCGGCGTCCCTACAACTATCGGCGTCGCCCCCGTCCTCCCAACGCTCCTTCGCAAGATGTTAAAGAGACCAAGGCAGGTGAAGCACCAGCTGGGAACCCCGCTCCTGCCGCCGAGCCGAGCAGCACTGAGTGACACTGGCTCCCCGCCACCTTCACACCAGCAGGGTGATCTAAAGAATTAATGACCATTCAACAATAAAGCAAAAAGTACACCCACAACCTTACCAACACCAAAGAAACACCTAAGCAATAAAGTGGAAGACTAAGATTTGGACATTAGAATGTTTACCACTATTCTTTGAGAAATTTAACAGCTGCAAGACGAAGATGTCAGTGAGTGTTTCCAGCCCGCCGCAAGCCCAGGAATGCCTGCACAGGATAGGAGAGCATCCTCCCCAGTTTCAGCTACCACTAGGTTTCTATTTTTTTTTTCCCCAGGTTTTTACTGTTTTGGTAATTGAAAGAAGAAATATTAATACTACATGGGGAGAACCCCAACCAAAGATATCAGAAATTGTTATATAGTAAATGCTTTCATTCCTTTTTTGTTCATTTTGGACGCTGGTGCTAAACTTCTAAGTGTCATGACTTTAAAAAAAAAGTTTGCCCTTATTTATTTTTAGGACGGGGGGAGGACAACATTTTTGCTTTCTTTTGTGACTCTAAAAAATGTGCGGTAAAAAAATTTCTCAAAAATTTTTACCCTTCATGGGGGCTGGAGAGATGGCTCAGTG